ATACTTTACTGGCAGGTAGTTGCAACCGCCAGAATAGGTTGGCTGTTGACATATATTTTATTACTAGCCTAGACTACCTCTTAGGCTATAATTATTACTAGAATAAATATTTTCGTGAAGGCTTTCATACTAATTAAAGATAAGAGATTTTACTCACGTGTTTTTTCCTAGTTTCAGCGGCCCTTTCTCAAGTAGTAAAACGCCCTGTTGTCGTAACAGCGGGCAAAAACGAAAGTTATTAGGTAATAAGACTGTTATACTGTCTATAATGCTTAGAACTTCCTTTTATCAATTTCTTCTATCAGTTATTTCTTTGGTTCCCCATTAGTAAAAGACAGAATTAAGGTATTTTGACTACGACTTCACTTTGCCCTCTCAATGCGTGTAACCATTGCCTGTGTTTACTAAAAGAACATAAATCCACTTTACTAACATGTAGTGTTTTTGTGGATACTGTATATATCAAACAAATATCTATCAAAGCATGTCTTTAGGTATAAAAAATAAATAAGACCCTTTGTATTTATATTCCATATATTTAAAAGCACCTTTATTCACTAATATTACAACAATTTTAATTAAACCTTTTACAAATTAACAATACGTCCGTAAACACATATTGTGTTTATATACATATAAAAAAAAGTAAATTAATTACGATTTATAACCGATTAATCTCTTAAAACTAGTTAGGGTCTATTTAAAAATATTATTTTTATCTGAACTATGAAATCGCTCACTTCATTTTTTATACACGAGCAACGGAATCTAAACCAGTGCTTTTACGAAAGGCGTGCAAAGGTCATGATATTCTGGAATATTGCTCCATATAAATATATATAATTATGTATATTACCGTGTACTCATCAAATGTGAAACCTTATACGTCATTATAAAAACATACTCAATATGTTCATAAAACTTTTAAATGTTGGTACAAACATGACTGCAAATTGGATTACTTATGAGCCAATTTATAAAATAATTACCAATAAACTAAAGTTTAATTCAGACCATCAGGTCAGGAGGGGTAATTGCAGTCGTATTAAAGCACTTTTCAGACAGTAGGTATTAATTAAAAATCAACGACCTTAGTAGTCGATTGTCGACTTATTGTGTTGCAGCGAAGGGAAAATTTTTACTGTAATGAAATAATAATAATATAAAAAATATGTAATTAACCACCGGGTTTAATAATTTCATTTTCGGTTTAGAAAACATGGTTAGAAAACTGTTTCTTTTATGGTATAGGGTGTCAAACGAGCTGACGGGGGATGGTAAGTGACGACCGCCGCTCAAGCACACCCCGCCTGCTCAGAATCTGAGGGAGGAAGGGTCCTCACGCACTCGGTGAAAGCAACGAAAGAATGACTTAACACCGGTAGCTTACTTATTAGTTTTTTTTTATTTTAAGTCTTGTATATTGCTTAATAAAATGCAATTATAATAAAACATATATATCTACAATTACATTTACAATATTTGATTTCCACTCAATTCAATTCTTCACTTGAATATAAAAAAAAATTACATGTAAATTAACTTCCAAATATTATTAGTTGTTATTTTACACCGGATATTTCGTATTTAATTTCATTAATGTATTGCATTACCCATTATTATTATTATTTTTCTTTTTATCAATCATTGATATTATTAAGGACCTCCCTTCTGAGTAAAGGCCACCTCCATTTTTCACCACTTGTCTCTGTCCATTGCCTTTGTTTAATTATTAATTTGTATTTGATATGAATGTTTATTTTATACAAATGTTTTCATATCATATACAAATTTTTCGTAAAAACACTTGGATTCCACGATGTATTCGTACCTCCCAGGTCCATATCTGAACTTATGAAGCATCTAAATGTTGGTTATATAATACCAATTGTAAAAATTCCACCTTTGCATATTTTAATTAAGACTTATAAAGAAAAGAAGTATACAAAATGATTGTAACTGATTAAATGTCTTGTCTGTTTGAGTAATAGAATAATGAATAAACTAATAATTTTCAAAATACAATAATTTAAGAAGTATTTTTTTGTACAAATACATAATATAAAATACTATTAAACAGTTTTTCACATAGCAAGTGAACTAATTACGTTTGGAATTTAAAGTCACTAGAGCTGGTATTCATTAAATCTACATTAAAAGTATTTATTGAAAAATCAAAACAGACACATGTTCTAATGAGAACAGATTGTGACAAAAATTAAACAGATTTATTAGTTTTTAAATATTTATCGCAACAAGTTATAAAAAGACAGAGAGCGCTTAACATATAACTCTTATGAGTAATTTACGCACTTGAACGTTCTTGAACGCGATTTATCGATTTATATTCGCGCTTAAAAGGTTACTTTTAAATAATATATGTCTTCAGACATGAACATTATTCTTAATATCTTTTAAACACACACACACACACATATATATGTATTTTAAATAAAGAGTTTTTCAAATGCAATAACAAAAGCATGTTATAAAATGAAATTTAAAATAAACGCAAAAGTAAGCTTGATGGATTTAATAAAGTGTCACTTAACTCATGTCACGTGTAAAATAGTATGTGTGTTTATTATGAAAGCAATATTCGAAATTCAAATACATATTCAAATACGACGAGCCTGTTGGTCTAGTGGTTAGTAACCCTGACTGCTAAGCCGGAGGTCGTGGGTTCGATTCCCACCCAGAACAAATATTTGTGTGATGAGCACGATCGTTTGTTTTGTGTCTGGGTGTAATTTATTTATAATAAGTGTGTATTTAAAAATATTTAAGTATGTGTATCCGCAGTCTGGTTACAATAGCACAGGCTCTGCCTAGTTTGAGATCGGACGGCAGTGTGTGAGATGTGTGAGATATATAATTATATCTATATTCGAAATATGTTTGAGTATTGCAGCAATAAAAATCTGTCTTAATTTTTGACACCTCTATGGCTACCACCAATATCTTTTTCATAGGTAAAAAATAATTTTCGATATGAATAAACACATTAAGTGTTTTGTTTAAAATTAGAGCGCTAAATTGATGCCGTATGATCTTGTTTCTTTTGATAGTGACATCCCATTTGGGTTTTAAAAAAATGAATTCGCTTCCAAAGCAGGAGTATACTCATCATTAGTTGTAGCCGTTAGTTAAGAGTAAATAAAACATTGTATCAATATAGATAATAAAACTACAAGAAAAACGTACCTAATATTTCGAGAACAATCATTGGTTGGATCACTGGTTGGATGTTCCTTGACACCATTTACATTTTTTACTCTTATCCCTTTTCAATAGTTCATTCTTTGCGTGGCCTACGGCAATCCTATCAGTTTTTTTATGATGTTATACTCTTGTTTTGTATTATTTTATTATATTACGGGCCCTTAATAAAGATAACGTTTTTTCATAAGTTAAGACGGTGATATGTGAAAATATTTATACTATTTTTTATATTTAAAAGTATATAAGTGAAGTATGAATAAGGGGTTATGTCCTCAGAATATAGTCTTTAGAATAATTTAATTTACTATTATCTATCTCTTTAGATATCTTCATTCCAATGGTAACATAAACTAAAATTCAATTTTATTTTATATAACGGCAACTTATTACCCCAAAGGGGACTTCAGTAAGTGCACAAGTCAAATCAATTGTAGACATAAATGATATAATTATACGACTGCCCCTTTACCTCATTAGACTATGTACTTATGTTTTTTCAAATAATTACATACATTATTTTACATAAAAAATGACTTACATTTGCTCTGAGCTGGGACGGTACAGCAGCCGCCAGAACTTACGGCGAGTTACATACATCCAATAGGTATATAGGTGCTTATATGTATTTCTTTTTCTCTGTTGTATACTAAGATCTTTAATTGGAAATTTCTATTCTTCTTTTTAATATTTTAGTTCTTGATTATTTTCCCTATTTAATAACTTCGACACGTGTCAAATTATTGTGTAAATTAATAGTTATGAATATTTTACTAAGTCAAATCACAGTGTATTTGTGACACATGCTGAATATTGATTAAGATAAAAATAAATTTACTTACATAACTTTAGAAGTAAAACATGTAAAGAAATATATGGAATGTGTATATTTACACAACTATTGTCTAACAAATTACAGGAATGTATACAAAATATGTATATCATATAACCAAAAATAAAAATATTGCACTGTATAATTATGTACTCATTGTACAAGAAAAATAAGTACACATGACAATTATATTTATTAAATTGTGAAAAAGTACTAAAAATAAAACAAAAGTTGATTGCCCCTTTTACATCTTTTTCACTTTAGCCAAAATCTCATTTCACGTCAATAATGATATTTGCCAGGTAATTATGATATTATTGGAATATAAAATAACATGATTGTAGCAGCTGCCAATAAATAATTTATGATAAATTCACAATGTCAATTTCTAAAACAAATTTTTATACATACATTGTAAACATATTAAAGATTATCACTTAATTACATCACTGGTTAAATTCTCTAGAAACCGATTTTGGTGAAGACGCTATCTTAGGAGTTCACTGACACGCGAACCATTATTCACTTTTTAAAAATTTCCCGCCAAAATATCCCACGTTTTGCATCTGAGGGCCTAGTGCAAGTTTATTTTAGAACGCACTGAAATCTGCAGCAATTGCAACCGAACGCGGTTACTGTCGAGAGCGCGTTGATGTGAAATAAACTTGCAATAGGCCCTCTGACAGCTAAAATGAGTCACTGTCTTACTGATAGGTATGATGACATGGGTGTTCTTAGTCAAATTACAAACATATTATATTTATAATCTGTTAATTGTATTTATATTGTGAATAATCTTCAATATGCATACATACCACATTAATTTTCAAATTATGATATTTATGTTTCACTTTGAAACAAATACTTTGAAGTATCAAATCGTAGTGATATTCATTCGATAATACCTGGTATCACGCTATTTAGCCGTAGCTTTATGAAAAATACTTATTTAATTGGTGTCCATCTTGGATTTCAGGGATTGGTAATAATCGGACAAGACTTTCCATGCGGTTGCCGCCATAAAACCTTTTGGTGGCTCCTTGCCAGATCTAGCGAGACCTGTGAATCATAGTTTATAACATTAATTAGTAAAAAACTAAATTAAACTTCTAATGGTAGTACTTATTGCAAACCTGACATGATAGCTAATGCTTAGTCAATAGTGTACTTGTAGAATATTTAAAGTTCAATAGCATAGCCTTTATACTTTAGATTTTATTGATATCTAAAAAACCCCGTCTTCGTCACTGAGTCACTGATAATCATCAAACTTTTTAAGATACTTCCTGAAGTACCCAGCCTAATGTGTACCCGTCCGGCGCGAGCAAGCCGTCCGAAATGATTGTTACCGCTTACACCCTAGCTTAATATCAGAGAGCGTTCAACCCGAATAAATTATAAATTATTCTGAAAAAAATGTGTAGGTAATTATTTAAAAAGTAATGATGAGAAATTAATAAGGTTTAAATATTTATAATAATATAAAACAAACGAATATTAAATTACGTAATTAATTAAAGGTATTCATTTATCATAAAGGTTCATAATTCCGTAACTCATGGTATAGGTACTATAGTACTATTCTATTAGTATAAATTTACATAAACCTTTGGGATGGCAGAAATAATGATTTTATTAATCATATTCAGATAATGACTTCATGTCTGAAAATTATTCTGAATCATCAGACTCGCCACCTTCTTCCTGATTGTCCCTGATATAAGAGCTCAATATATTGGATCATCCACGTTCTCTTGTGCGCAGGCTTATGTAGCACTCTCTAGAGTGACTAATTTCCAATGTGTTTATATTGTTATTACCTTATAAATATTGACTTTGGTAGTATTAAAGCACAACAGTGCTGTAGTCGAATATAATCGTATAAGAGCCAAGAAAAAAAAATGTTTAAAGTGGGATACTAATTTCAGTTTGTGTTTTTTAGAGCATTGCAGACTTTTAGTATAAACTTATTGCCTTGAACTACTTGCCTCTCATCCTAGTTCCAGAAATGAAATCAAAGTCTTCCTTGCGCGTTGGATCGAAGAAAGCCATCTTTCCAACTGAAGTGTCATATGCCGCCACGCGGAACGGAATAATCTGTCAATTAAAAATTTTCTCATGTAAAACTGTACTATTGTGACAACAACAGAGATTACTTAAACTAAATAAGTTATGTAGAGTGACAGGACAATTCGTAATAATAGATCCCAAACTTTTTTTATGATTATATTATGATAAGTGATTTTGATATAAGTTTTAAAACTCCTTATCTGTTATTTTGTTTGAAAATATTAGACATTTTAGAAATTTCACAAATCTATGACGACGCAAAGTATTTAAAATTTTAATAGACTACTATTTAGTAATAGTATGTAGTATATGCGTATTTGTGTATTTGTAAATATATACACATATACGCATACACACAGAGACATGCATACATATAGTTACCAATCTATGTGAAGTTACAATTTTTTTTTTTGAAATCGATGTAGGTAGTACTTGATGTCAATAAGTTATTAAAAAAAAAGGAGAACGGCTCACCTCGAGGTCGTTAAGTCCGGGTGCATTTTTGAGCACGAGCGCGCCGTGCCTGGGGTCGTACAGGTCGCCGCCGCCCGCCGGGTGCGGCACGCCGGCCGGGTCGCGCCCCACGATGTAGTGGTTGGCGCCCGCGTTCATGCGGCACTTGGCGTGCCACTGCACCTGTGGTCACAACCCCGCACGTCAATATCTCTGCCACCCTCCATTAGTACATTCGGGATGTGAAGATCGCGTAGCTCGATTAACAGTAAGTTAATATTGAACATGGACGATATTGAACGAAAAATTCACCATTCTCGGTTTGTAGTTCTGTGTCTAGATGAAAAGCGAGCGAGAATTACAGTAGTCGCATATTATGATGTGTAAAATCTAACATGTCAGTTACTATTTGGCGTCAAAATAAAAATAAAAAATTGGCAAAAAACTAATAGTCCCCCTAGTACCGTAATGAAAAACAAACACAACAAAAAAACAAATATAAAGTCAAACGTGTGCAAGAAAAAGTGTGTATTGTAAACGGCACAACTAAACCACACCACTGGGGTGTCGTTTATAATTTTGTTTTTGTTGATACCACCGTAACAAAGTTCTAGCACGAAACTTAATGCATTTATCGCTATCCATTATATTTTATTCGTAAGATCACGACCATTTTTAAAAGCTTTTTCCAGAAGTTTCCATAAGTTGCTTTAAAGCTAGCAGATGGAGTGAAACAAAAATACGTTGAAAATGATTAATTATTGTATAATTATCGGATCCGTTTTTATAAATTAATTGACTTGTTTTTTGTTGGAATGGACGCAATTATTATGTTTTACGAATCCCTGTGAATTCAAACAATTTCAAAATTATCATTAAAAAATAAAACGTATGAATTGTTTTATTACGTTATACACCACTAGTTTCCGTCAACGACAAAAAATCGTAAAAGACACCCCATTGCTGTGGTTCAGTGGAAGAGAAAAAGAGTAATCAAATATGATAAAAAATGGAATAAAAATTAATAATTTAATATATAATTATATTATATAATTTAATAATTATAAATAAATAATATAAAATAAAAATATAAAATAAAACTTTTGACTAAAACTTCCATTTAATCATTATTGTAAGTCCTGGCATGATTTTTTGGCTACCACTAGATTACTTTTAAGATGGAATAAAACAGTACCAGTGGCGGTTATTTTCTCGTATATTAATATCTACTCAACGTTATTTGCAGCTGCACCAAAATTTTTATGTTCACCTTTTCCTATTTCTGCTTTTCTAACAAATCAGAGTTACTTTCCGGACAGATGACATAGCGTACATGGGCGAGAAAAATGTCCTCATACACGGCTGGTCATTTTCTTCATCATTTTCTTAATTAAACTTCAAATTAGTCTGTTGGAACGAAGTAACTTATCGCGCGTTGTGAAAGGGGGCTAGACGGAAAAAATTCTCACGAAAAGTTGTAACGACACTTTTTATGTCAGTCATTCAGCGCGATCTATCGAATAGATAGGAAATCATTACTTTTCATCTCAGTATTTATTTTGAATTGTCACTTGTCAGTCATTCAGCGCCATCTATCGAATAGATAGGAAATCATTTCTCAAGGAGATTTTACTAATGTATAAATTGTTTTAATTAGAAAACAACTAAAAAATATGTAGGTAATAGCCGCTTTCATAGGTGGCGTTGTAATTAAAATCGTGTCGAATCAGTTTTACTAGATAGTCACAACTTCGTTCCTATCGGGTGTCCCAAGACACCACACGGCTTTTTTTTACAACAAATCACTTACCTCAGTAGGCCCCGCGTACATCATGGGTGAAGGAAATATTGCGAGGATGGTAGACTGTGGGTCCAACACTCCCTCGCTAAGCACAGCCTTGTGCTGGTTGATACGCACTTCTAGTGGAACATCGTCGTCTTTCGTCCATCCACCTAAAATATAATTAACATTTATAAAGGCTTTCTTATAAAAATGAAAAGAGAGGCCTGATTAATCATGAAACTGAGAACCTGAGAAGAGATGGCATCATCATCAATCATCAACAGCCTTTAACAGTCCACTGCTGGACATAGGCCTCTCCTTAGAAAGGAGGTTTTGGCTTACTAAACCACGTTGGCCAGACGGGTTGGTACAGGGTTTGTGTCAAGTTTTCCTTCTTTTTGCAGTGCTGGTGTCCTGCGTTTTTTCCTGCCTTAGTCGGCTCTTACGACACCCACGGGATGAATTGGGGTAGTGACATTTCGTATTCTTAATCCGTGATTACACAGACAATAGCATGCTGGAGCGTAATGATGAGGGAGGGTGCGGCTTCGTTTACGAATAAAAATGTTAGATCTTTAAAATGCTTACCAAGCGGATGCAACAGTAAGACTGGTTTCTTGAATCCTCTCTCGACTAACTGTCGGTGAGTATCTTGCATCAGAAGAGCATGGCCGTTGTGAATAGGGTTCCGTAGCTGTAAGAAAATTATAAAATACATAATTTCAAACATTTACTCATATGCCCATCAATCTATATTTAATATTAGATAGACAGATACGGTATTATTGTACATCATTTAAAAATACCATTCATCCATCTATCCATCGACAGCCTTTAAGCCTTTTAACCACTGCTGGCCATAAACCTCTCCTAGGAAGGAGGTTTTGGCTGGCCAGACAGATTGGTATATGGGGTTTTTGTCAAGTTTTTCTTGTTTTTTTGCAGTGCTCTCATTCTACGTATTTTGCTCTCTTAGTCGTCTCTTACGACACCCACGGGATGAATAGGGGTAGTAACACTGTATTTAATCTTTCACCGATATAAAAACACGAATATAAAATATAATCGATTTTAAATTTTAATGTTACCGTTCGGTACAATCGGCGATCTTATCGCTGATATCGATCTCTCCCAGACCACCTTTGGATGAAAAAGGTATTAAGAGTGATAGCTGAGAGTCGATACTACATACAACAATATGTATGTATTCATACATCTACATAAATATGAATGGTATTGATTATATCTAATGTTTGTAAAGTCCAATGGTGTCCATTAAACTTTTAGATTAATATGACACTCTGCCTTTCATCACTTACTTAATAAATAACCACTATATAACTTATAGAACAGACTAAACTTACTTGGAAAGCAAACACAGCGTCAGCACCAAGTTCCTTGAACTTTTGACTTAGCTCATTGGGCGTGAGGCGGTAGGAGTCCAACCCATCGTTCCAGCGAATACGTTCGAACACTTCCAAGTTGCCGCCTACTAGCCAATCTCCTGCTTCCTTGATCATCTGAGAACCACAAACGAAAAGAATCATTTAACGATGCACTTTGTTAAGCACTTAAGTTAGTTTTATATACATAAGGCATATGCAGGTTTCCTAAGAATAAGTAAAGATTCCTAAGATTTTTTTAATTATTCACTTATGCACGTCATTTCGTTATCAAAGTTGTTTCTCAATCAATTCGAGTACAACTCGGGATCAGTTTTCTTTTTGGATTAAGGGTAGCTTACAGAGGACAACAAGCAGACCAGTCACATAAACATAAACGAAAATATCACAATTCGTTCCACAGTCTTGTTTTGAGAGGCAAAAAGCTTCTTGAAAAGTGCAGTGGTGGATTGCCAACTGACCTAACAATTAACTTACCTTAATGTAAGGATGTTCCGCGTGATAAATGCCAAACTGTCTGGAACACCTCTCCTCTTTCCTATGTGGGAAGAACTCAGGAGCTCTGAGTACTGCAACGACCTTTCCATTGTAAATAAGAGCGATCGCATCAGCTCCTGTAAGACGATCCTTTACTTCGGTGTCTACTGCTAGAACGACGGGAACAGATTGATTCACTACTGAGCCATTAGGTAGCATCAGGCAGTTCGAGTGCAGAGCCTGTAAAGAAATTCATGTTGTTGGTATGATTTATTTTATTGTCTACACTCCAAGTTTAAGAATATTTTTGCTTACCAAAACATCAAGCTTTGTGTTATTAAATAAAATTAATAATAAAATTTTAGGCATGGGTTTAGATTAATCTAACGCAAATATGGTGTTATTACATCGTTATCGAATTTCGTCCCAAGTCAGCTCCAAGGCTATTGATACAAAAATTACCTCATTTCTACAACTATTGATATTTGTTAATATTTTGTATTATTCGAATTAATTTATATTTTTCATGATCACAGGAAAGATATCGATCCAAACGAGATAAAAAAACAAAGTTTTTAAAGTTAATTTGAATTTGGACTTTTGCTCTTTCAATAGCCAATTCGAGTCATAGGTAGATAACCTGTACAAGCTATGTTTTGCACTTCCCAATCCATCCGTATCCAAGATCCCTTTCCATCATTGCCTTCTTTTCTGATCCACGTTTCCTATCGATATATATCCCTAATTTGCCCATCTAATTCCTAAAGTTGATGACACCCTTTTCCCCTGTTAGGTAAGCGGGACTATAGTGGGCAGAATATGGGCGTTCGGGGATACAAGCATAAGTGTATGTGAAAATGGGCAGCATTAAAAATCGACAATATTATAGGTAAGGAAGTGATATATATTTTTTGTAACTTCCTTATTTTGACACGAGAAAAATTGTGAGTGATGGATGTAAGTACATTTGTTTGCACTATACGATACTTATCAACATGTGTACACTTTGTTGGTATTGAAGACATCATCAAAACAATCATGTACATTAGACACTTGCATTAACAAGCCGATGTAACTTTTATATCTTTTTACAACACAAGTAGATAAAAACTTAAGTGCTAAACTGAATTACCCTTTTGGACAGTTTTCAACGAATTTATCATGTTGCTTTAAGTTTAGAACGCCTGGTCTCGTCCTCCATACTAAAAATCATGTTACATTTCATCTCGTCATTAAATGCCATAACGACTTTTAATACACCTTTTTTGCAACTGGGTGGAATGCCCCTCGGAATCTCCGGCTCCTAGGGGACGCATGAGGCAAGAGTATGTGGTGTTTATGGATATTCGATATTAAGCTGGCTGTTCACTATTCTAAACATGTTTTTAAAGTTACTTACTGATAAATATTCATGTTCTCTCATAAATCCTTTGAGAGGATAAGCCCAGCCTTCGGATAGCACCTGAAACAAGCATTGTAAAAATATAATGGAAAATCTTGATACTTATATTTCTGATATATAAGCATATTTGTCATGATAATTTATCTTTATTAAAACTGCCATAAAGAAGCCCACTATCTAAACAGGTGATTAAATAAATGCATTTTGTCACTTTGATATGTTTCTATTATATATAACTGATATAAATTCCACATATGGAAATATGTGGAATTTATATCAGTTTTATATTAGAAATGTCAAAGGTTTTACCCGACATTAAAGTACTTAGTGCGCTGGAAGTTAGTGACCTCTAGAACAAATAATTGTGTGATAAGCGTGGTATTTGTTTTGTATAATATGTGTGTATTTAGTAATATATAGCTGTTTATAGGTGACACCACATTAAGGACCGTTTTTCCACCGCCACTTCAAATATAGACAGCAAATTTTATGATGGCAATGTGCACAGTGGTTTACAGCTTCGCCGAAGCATCCTATCCCGGTGATAACCAGCGTCAGCCGGTATAAGAGGGTCCCGTGTTGCCTCTCAGGGGTTTGGCGTTATTGTCAACAAAAAATATTTTCGATCGCATCGGTGTAGATTGGACTAGGGGTCGAAAGGGGGTTATTTGAATTTTTTATGTCAATTTCTATGATTTGTGTTAATCTCGTTTTTTTTAAAAGGTAGAAATGCAATCAATATCTCTATCATTAAACACGCATAATTCCAATTGTCGAACGCCTCTTGCGAATTTTCCTATACTCTAATAACCTGTATACGTGATGTGATAACCCGATGATAAAGATAAATATTGTATTATAACATAAGATGTAACAATAAAGTCGCGTTTTATGAAATATCTTATCTAGAGCCGAAATTTAAGTACTATTCAATCGGATTAGTAGTCTTTCAAGCAGCTATTATGATAACAAGTTTCAATTTAGACTTATTGTTATAAAGAACTATATCCTTCGATTTATGTTTAACATAAACGGTTAAGTAAATTTGTGTATTTCCGCCAAATTGATTTTTTATCACTCTGGTAATCCATCAATGTGTCATACAAATGTTGTATTTTATCTAGAAATAAAAAAAATGATGGATAGGTGACTCGTAGTCATAATACTTCTTCTGTAACTTTGCTTTGGTCACACATTAATATAGGTCGAGTCTATGCTAGAAGCTAAGCTTTTTTGCCTTTTCTTTTCCTTTGAAAAAGACAACGCTGGCACTGGGGGCTTTACAAACATTCGTGAAACGAACACAAAGAACACCCAGATTCAGAATAACAATTTGTGGATCACACAAAGTGCTTTCCTAACGGAACGGTGGGGAACGAACATACAACACTCAGTTAGTTAGCCATATTTCAGACTATATTTAAGATGTCAACAATTTTATTTGGAGTAACCCATACAGATAGACAAACAATTTGCCTATAATCGTGGTAAGTAGAGCGTTGGCTGTGTTTACGAAGTAGAGTATTCCGTAACACTAGCTGTGATTATACTCGTAATACTTACTTGTGGATATGTTTAATGAACCAATTAATAAATATTTAAACATTAATCAGGTGCCTCAACTAATTTCGAAGCTTGTTAATGGTTTTACACAGTGACCTATTTACACTAAACTTTATCAACAAAATATTCAATTCGATTTTAGATATTCCAGTTGGTAAATAAATATAATACTAATATCCCGTTAAAATATTGTGTTTTTTAAACAGCACAGATTATATTATTAATGAATAATTCTCTTACGCACGTTTAGTAATACATCTAGTTCTATCATGTAATTTCTTTTATTGTTATAAAGGTAATGTATGGTATTATATTATAGTCGTAATACAATCAATTGTAGTTTTTAAAAACATAACATTGAACTACCAACATGACGTACTCAGTTACAACATTTTATGTGTGTTTTCCATCTTGTTTATAGTCTGTCACATACCCAAAAGACTAAGGCGCAGGATACACACCGTACAGAGGGCCTAGTGTAATTTTATTTTATATCTGATTTATAAAAATATCTAAAAAGATTTACTTGCAGAAATAAACATTGAATAAACATAAGGAGCGCGTTCCGCGTTGCGATTAAGGAAGATTTCGGACATAATTTTACCGTATCGTATCGTAATAGTAATTATACCAACAAACAATAATTAAAAACTCGCCACTAATAGGTATAAAAGTATAAATTATATACAGACGTCACCATGTCAATTATAGATAGCCTAATTTGTTTTTCGAATCTTGTGCAATCATCAGACCAATTTTAATAAATTAATCATCTAATATCATCATCTCTAACCACTGGAGTATTATGTCAAGGTTCTTTCTCGCGATGGCACCTCATTAATAACGTAGTCAAATGGTGTTAATAGCTGGTATAATGTTTTGTTTAACTCGTATTATCTTGTACATCTTTTAACTGATACTAGTCGCTAAACTATCAAGTACAATTGTAACAAGCGGCAACAACTTTGCGCTGTTAGAGCGATAAATGCTTCAGAAATATTTAGCGACATCGCGAATAATCAAAATAAATCAACATCAAATAACGAATACTGTGTTTTGAATTCACTTGCTCTTTTTTTTCTTTCTTTTCTCTTGAAAAAGACAAGACCAGCATATATCCTGTGTCGCGGGGGACTTTACAAACATACATAAAATGGACAAAAAGAACACCAAGACTCAGAACAACCATTTGTGGATTACACAAAGTGGTGTCCCATGTGGGGATAGAACCCACAAGACTCAGCGTAGTAGGAAGCGCCGTGGTGACAACTTAAACCACTTAAAGATTTTTCGCTTTTTTATGGTGAACGAACATACGGTGCTGCTCGTTCGCCTCCCAAACGAGCAGACGGCGACACGTCTGGTTGTTTGCCTCCCCTTTTAACCATTTGTAAAAACGAAGACATATGGACCTATGGACAGGTCAACTAAAGAGTGCCAAGTGCCTTGCCGCCCTTTGATTGAGCTCCGGTAACCTCACTTACAAGGTGAAAAGCAACAAAAATAAAATTCACTGCGTAACACAGGTTTTCTTTGACGTTTGGCATGTGGAGCCGTTTCTGCCGAAGTATAACTCTCCTACGCCTTTTAAATATATAAAACCAGCATATATTATAAAAGGGGTTAAAGTATGAAATTGTCAATGTATAGTAATAGATAGGTACTTTGAATTGACATAAAACCTTCATGGTGTGAGATTTTCGTGTGAAACTTTTTTCACATGATACCTATGAGGTTCTCAATGACGTATCTTCTCTTAAAAATGTGCAATATTCGATTTTCGACTTTCAATTGTTTTTTATTCAGCTTAGACGACTTATTGCTGAGACTTATTTGCATCAAATCATAAGATAAAAAAAAAGAAAAATGGGTGCCTCATGATTTAACTGATCTGCAGAAAGAAATGCGTGTTGAAACTTATGTTCCTTTGTTGAATCGGTACAGAAATGAAGAAATATTGGATCAAATTGTGACATGTGACGAAAAGTGGATTGTTTAGTGTTGTGGAGTGTAGTGGATTAAGTAGAAAGGTAATGGTAATTGTTTGGTGGTCTCTTGATGGTGTTATTCACTATAGTTTTCTCAGGTCTACACAGGCAATAACAGCAGATGTGTACTGTGCCGAACTTCGAACAATGATGGCAAAACTGGCAGTAAAAGAGCTCCGACTCGTGAATCGATCTTCACCATTGTTGCTCCACGATAACGCAAGACCTCACACTGCGCAAGTAACCGTTGTAACTCTACAGGAGCTGCAGTTAGAAACCACGTCATCCTCCGTACTCGCCAGACCTTGCTCCAACGGACTACCATTTTTTTCGTGATTTGGACAATTTTCTACATGATTAAATAGTTTCTTCCCAGGAGACAAAATGCATTGACACAGTTTTTCGAATCTAGATCACCAGAGTTCTCTCGTAAAGGCATAAATGAACTTCTGTTTAGATGGCAGCAATGTATGGATAATGAGAGTAAATATTTTGATTGAATAAATGAGTTACATCTTAGAAAAAAATCGAGTTTCAATTTTTCAGTACAAATCGGCAATTTCATACTTTAACCCCTTATATATAAAACTATATTATTTTATGTAACGACTACTGTATAGAGTATTATGTAATAGTATTATCATATCGGTATGTTATTTAACTAAAATATATTCCCAGTTTTTATACTGTCACGAGTTGCATGCTAATACGGATTCCAATCAGCAAAACTCCTTCCTGCCTTTGTACAATTAAATAAAAAAGGGACTATTTTATAATGTTTCAACAAAATATTTCACTCACTAGACTCACAGGCTTTTGTATGTAGGTACAATATTAAATTATCAGTTTCGGTATCGTGTATATCGCAAATGTATCGCAAGGTACTTGACTGAGTTTCATGACCTTATTTGTTAAAGATTGCATTTAAGAAACCACGACAATCTTAGTCTAGTATTACCTATATTGTATCTGTTCTTTTTCGTGTCTAAAAATAATGAATAATCTTAATAATCCATTTTGTTAAGTGCAAAGTGGCGAGGCGGTAACAATAGCTGTTATCGATAGCAATACCTTTAAGTGTTAATCATACATCGTAAATAATTACTTGTCGACACGAAACCTTAAGTTTTGGATTTAATTTTATTTTACTTTTTTTTCAGGTATTCTGTTTTTAATTTATTATTTGTTACCAACTGATGAAGTTTTATAAAAACTAAAATAACAGAAACTAATTAAATATATAAGAAACTCTGAAACATTTATAACGATTTAACACATAACTGTTTGACTTAGTAACCCATTCTATCTACATAGTACCTAATTTATAAATATCTCGTGTCACGTTTGTAGTCGCACTCCTCCGAAACGGCTCGACCGATTAAATGTGTGAAAATAGGAGTATAGTTAGAGTATAGTTTCTACCCTCCTACCCCCGTTCTCTATTTTTTTCTAGCGATTTGAATTCTTTGATATAATTTATTTAGCAGAACAACGTTTTCCGGGTCAGCTAGTAATTTATAAAAATTGGGAGAATATTGTTAGACAGTTCTACCATCAGATTAAATCTTTACACTTTTGAATGTGATAATAATAAATTCTGACACACGGCCAACTGATCCCAAACTAGGCAGAGCCTGTACTATCTTAACTAGATTGCTGATAAACATACTTATATATTTCTAAATACATACATTTTAGATAAATTACACCCAGACACAAAACAAATGATCGTGCTCATCACACAATGATTTATCCTGGGCGGGAACCAAAAACACGACCTCCGGCTTGGCAGTCAGGGTCACTAACCATTAGACCAACAGACCCGTTAAATTTATTGGTTTCCATAGAACAGAAAAAAAGGTATAAATGTTCATGTGTTTGTTGTGTACCATGAATAAATTAATTATTATTTTAACAAATTAATAAACACACAATATTATTACTATAAACTCTTTATCAATCACAAGTATGTAGCCCTAATTAACATCTTTATGATAATTTTCACATTGTAGGTTCTCAAATCCATTGCAGGATCTCTTGTCACAATTTCATTGGACCTAGATACATTATAAAGCATAGTTGCTTAAGAATCCATAGTTTGAAAAAATCTAGAGGTACTTGTAAAGGTCTAGTTAAAAAGCATTTATTATCTTACCTGCACCCACTGCAAGTCCAATTTGTTGATGTGGATTTGCGGTAGTCTAACCGCTTCTTCAATAGCGCTGGTCAATCTGTTACCATATATGAATAATTCTTCAATAGCAACGCGGTTGTTTTCAAAACGTGGTATGATACCCTGTGGAAAATTATAAAAGATATCTTGGTTATAACAATTCAAAAGCTGACACGAGGTATTATTTCTTAGTCGAGTTCTTCAAGAAAAGGAGATTCTCAATTCGTTTATAATAAATAATAAAAATCGCTTTACACATTTCACACGCGGCAGTCTGATCCCAAACTAGGCAGAGCCTGTGTTATGGTAATCACAATGCTGATAAACATACTTCATATTTGTAAATACATACATATAATAGATAAATTACACCCAGACAAAGAACAAACGATCGTGTTCATCACACAACATTTATTACCTCCTTGGTTTCCACGACTTGTTTGTATCTTTTATGTTTGTTACCTCTGAACTCCATCATTTACCGATTGAGAAAATTCTGTTTTCATATGGCAGGGTATAGGAAGTAGGTTCCTATTTGGTCCTATTTAAATAAGAACAACCCGACTCTAAGTGTGGCAAATAAGGAATGAATGTAGTCGCTTTGAAATGGGTAATACTGTTATATATCATCATCATCATCATCAGCCTATCGCAGTCCACTGCTGGACATAGGCCTCTCCCATTGCACGCCACTTAGATCGATTTTGGGCTTCTCGCATCCATGCCAGCCATCTTGCGCAAATCGTCACTCCACCTGTTATATATAGGTATGTCAATTTTAAAAGTAACCAAAATTAAAAAAGATCTCAATAGGTAATATTAATATTTTCAATTTTACTGTGATGAACACCTCTCTTATCTCCGAAGTATGACTTTTATGTTATTAAAATGAATTTGCACTTTACCCAACTTTTTTAAATAAAAAATCTTGCTTTGAAAGAAGTTTAATAGAGTTAGTGTCTCAAATGAAGTTTTCTCTGCCCATTATCCTGTTATTTGATCTTATAGACTTAATATATATCGCTTAGTATCCGTATGTGTAAAGAAGCGATAAAGGATTTTATTAGAAGTGTGTTGGATATTTCGTTTATCATGTAGATGTTATTATTGATAAAAATGAATAACATAAAGTCTATATCACATACTTTTTTTTATGGTATTATTTATTAAATTCTTTTCACTTTTTTTTATAATTATAAGACGGATCTTATTATTTTGTAGCTTCATAATTTTGATTCTAAGCCCTCGAGAACTATAAATACAATTTTTTTATCGAATGTAGAGGTCAGAGAGTAGTGCTCTCTCGATAAATAGATAAACTAAGCGACACTAATTTTATTAATAAAAATAAGGCTCGTTGATTTGAATTGAGTAAAGTGAAGATTTAAAATATTCGGATGAGAAATTATAGTTGTTTAAATCCATACTTATATTATAATGTAAATGTGTTTGTTTGTTTGATAAACTTTCACGCCTTAACACCTAAATCGATTTTAAAAATTCATAAATGGTGAGCTATACGAGTATTATCAGCGTCCGTGTGCTGACGGATTAAGAATACGGAGTGTCACCACCCCTATTTATCCCGTGGGTGTCGTAAGAGAGTCACCCATTTCGTTACTTGTCACACCCATTTCGTTACTTGTTCGAGGTGGACGTGTGCTTCTTTAATTGATATTTGTGTTAGCAGTTAGCATTGTGAACTGTACGTTGCTTGGTGCGCATACGCTTCAGTTTTGATTACGGGTCAAGTACAAAATAATTAAGTGAAATTATTCGTCTCTCTTCCGCTGCACCTGCTGCGCCGTTCTCGCGTCGCTGGTAGTATCCGCGAACTGTCAAACCTAGTCGTCTGTGTTGTGTGCGCTATTTGTTTGTGTAAGTGATACTGTGCCACCTGAACTATTCCACAAGTTATACAAAGGTATTTATAATTATGTCTAAACAACCGGTATCGGTCGCATCGGAACCCGAGCTACACAAACTGCATTTACAAGACGCTGAGTCTGTGAATATTATTCGACGCAAACGCAAGCAAGTGGACAGCAACTTGGATGAGCTGTTTGACAGGTTTTCATCGGATTTGACTGCTAAGCTTGCCTCCATGATGACAGATCTCCAAAACAAGGTTTCTGACATTCAATTAAACATTAACACTGTAATAAAAAACGACCTAGACAACATTAAGTCTAAGCTTTCAGTTATTGATGTTAATCAATCTCAGCTGTTTACGGATATGGAATCGGTCAAGACTGCGATTGAACATCAGGATAGCCTTCAGGCTAATTTGGTTAAACGAGTTGATGACATCTTCAAATCAAATACAACCCACAGCTCGGATATAACTCGAATGCAGGAGCACATAACTAATTTAGAAGTGGAACTCAATAATCAACAACAGCGTGACCGTGCGTTTAATCTTGAGATAAATGGTGTTCCTGAAAGGTCTAACGAGAAACTTATTGATTATTACTGCACTATGGTAAGGTTTTTGGAAATAGAATCCTCAGCGACCGATGTCGTGCATGCGACAAGAGTACGCCCAGTCAATCCAGTACCTGGTCGCCCTAAATCCATCGTGGTTAAACTCAACTCACGCCTCCTACGCGATACCATATTGTCTGCTATTAGAACCAGGAAGGGCCTCAGCACGAGCGACCTCGGCATCACGGGTGACCTGAGAAGGATCTTTGTAAATGAACACCTCACGCCTGCCAACAAGCTGTTACACAAGAATACACGGCAAAAGGCAGCCGCTGCGCAGTACCAGTTTGTTTGGATACGTGATGGAAAAATCTTCGTCAGGAAGAATGACACCTCCGCGTCAATTCGTATCATATCCCCTGCTGATCTCCGTAAAATTGTATGACTAATTATTCTAGTTTTTTTGTTTAGGGAATGTTTGTTATTGTACCATAATCTCATATTTAACAAATTTAAGTTGATTGGTTGTTTTAAATCTTACAACCCGCTTGATATGATTGGTAAACAGCTATGTAACATTTATATAAAATATCGTAGCCTCTTATTATTACATATACCCACATATTATTTATCTTATTTTTTACTTTATAAAATATTTCTAATCTTATACTACGTTCACGTATTTTATCATTGTTCAGTATATAATTATATTTTCTGCACCTGTTATTCCTGCCATTTATGTTGTTCCTGTTATAAAAAGTTATGTACATATTACTGTAGACCTCTAAAATGGCCACCTTAATGGATAGCAAACGACTAAATATTTTTTACCAAAACGTCCGTGGTTTACGCACAAAATGTCTTGACTTGTACAATAACATTCTTTTACATGAATACGACATTATTTTTATTACCGAGTCATGGCTACAGAGTGATATATTAGACGAAGAAATCTGTGATGGTAGGTATGAGATGTTTCGTTGCGATCGAAATCTGGATGTAACTGGTAAGCGGGCTGGCGGCGGCGTTGTGTGCTGTGTCCGCCGTGAGCTATGCGCGGTCTCGCTCACCGCTTGGCTGGGTAATTCACAATATGAATTTGTTTGTCTGAAGATCTCGGCACGGACTCTTGGCACTTCAGCGGATTTAATTATTGTTTTATCATACATGCCACCTGACGCCTTTAATCTGCCGACTAACTTAAATAATTATTTTATTAACTTTAACACTTTATTTCGTAAATACAAAGACGCGTATTATTTTCTTGTAGGTGATTTTAATTTACCCTGTTTACGTTGGTGTAGGGATGGTTGGTCCCTCACACATTTGGGTAGCAGCCTGGTACAGGACAGAGCTTGTGCATTTGTGGAAGATTTAAGCTTATTAGGGTTGGTTCAATATAACTATACACTTAATAACTGTGACAACACTTTAGATCTTTGTTTTTCAAACTTACCTTTAAACGTTTCTGTGACTAGCGGTTTAACTAAAATTGATAGATTTCACCCACCTCTTTCTATTGACATTGTAGACTTGTATATTAGCTCTTTTATCACGAATAAAATATGTAGATTAAACTTCCGCAAATGTAATTATGAAGATATCAATAAATATTTGAGTAATATTAATTGGGACCAATTGTTGTCGGGCACTGATTGTGTTGACGACGCGGTTGATTTATTTTATGAAAAATTAAAAAATTGTATTACTCTATTTGTACCCCTTATCAGTCAGCGAAATAATTCCTATCCCATATGGTATAGTCATTCTTTAATTAAGGTCATTCGCGAAAAGGATAAGTTACATAAAAAATGGAAATTGTTTAAAAATCCTCGAGACTTCGATGAATTTAAGCTTCTGAGGGATAGGCAACATCGAGTACAGGTTCAGTGTTTTGACAACTTCACACGCAATGCTGAACACAACATAAGGAAAGCACCTAAATACTTTTGGAGCTACGTCAAGTCAAAAAAGGCTGGTTCTGCTTATCCGCGTTATTTCACTTTGGGAAATACAAAATATAATGACGGTCAGGCAATATGCACTGCTTTCAATAACTTTTTTGACAGCGTCTTTACCAGGGGTCGGTCCTCGTCGCAATCTGACACTCATTCTCCACTGTTCAACTACCAGGCCTGCGACACTATTTCTAACATAACTGTCTCTAAAGAAACGGTATTTAACCACCTCTCACGTTTGGACAGAAATAAGGGTGCTGGTTGCGACGGAATTCCTCCTGTCTTTTGGTCGGCGTGCGCTGAGAGTTTATCGCACCCTATTGCTCTACTGTTCCAACACTCACTAAGAACTTGTATGTTTCCCTCTCTTTGGAAAAAAGCGCACGTCTTACCTATTTACAAGAAAGGTTCCAAATCTCAAATAGATAATTATCGCCCTATCTCCATTTTAAACTGTATAGCCAAGGTTTTTGAAAAAATAATTTTTAATAATATTTACCCAGTTGTTAGTCTTGGCATTCCAGAATTTCAGCACGGATTCATGCAAAGACGTTCCACGGTTTCAAATTTGGCTTGTTTCACAGATTATGTGGTAGGCGAAATGGAAAATGGTGGCCAGGTTGACGTGGTCTACACAGATTTTGAAAAGGCCTTCGACCGTGTAGACCACGGCATCCTGTTACGTAAGCTGTACGCATTAGGTATTCACGGTGACCTACTTAGGTGGGTTGAATCGTACCTAACTAATCGCTCTCAGGCTGTTGTATTGGGTGGGTTTAAGTCTGACTTTGTATCTATTCCCTCTGGCGTTCCCCAGGGATCGCATCTTGGCCCTCTCTTCTATAACGCCTATATTTTTGACATAATTTACCACATCAAGCACTCACATTACATACTCTACGCTGATGACAAAAAGATTTACACATCCATCAACTCCTTATCTGACTGTGTCTTGCTTCAAGAGGATCTCGACTCTTTATTCAGGTACTACGCTAAAAATAATATCACGGTTAGCATCAAAAAATGTCAAAGTATATCCTTCACCCGTAAAAGATATCCTATCATTTACCAATACAGTTTTAACGGCGTTGCAATCGAGAGGGTCAAGGTTGTGCGAGACCTGGGTATACTTTTGGACTCGGAGATGTCCATGCGGCAGCACATTGATGCTATATGCAGCAGATCATTTCGCAATCTCGGTTTTGTCCTAAGATCTTGCCTACCTTTCAAGAGTTTGTTGAGCTTAAGTGTTGTTTATATTGCTTTTGTTCGTAGTTTACTGGAATACGGTTGTCAGATATGGTCTCCCTGTTATGCGATACACAAAGGCAGTCTGGAGCGCATCCAGAAAAAGTTTATAGATCACCTTAATTTCAAATTTCGTCACAGCTTTCATGATTACAGAGAAAATTGTCGTATTTACAATCTACTAACTCTCGAGGAAAGGCGTATTCTGATGGATATGGGTTTACTCTATGACATTTTGCGAGGACGGATCGATTGTCCTATGCTTTTAAATAATATTAAGTTTAATGTACCCAAGAAACGCACTAGACACACTACACTATTTTGCACTTCATTTCACTCGACTAATTATGGTAGAAATGGTGTAATATCACGTTTACTCGACTCTTATAATGAACACTTTAATAGTGTGGACATATTCATCGGTTCTAAGGATAATTTCAAAAAACGAGTTTCGCTTAAATTACTATCATCATAGGCTTTCTAAAATGTCAACATCATTGCACTGAATGGCTGGATTTATAGGTTTCTAGATGATATAAAAAAATTTAATGTATTTATTCAATTAAATTTTTCTCCCATATTTATATATATTAGTATGTGTTATTTATTTCAGTTATTTATTATATTTCATATTTTACATCTATTCACCCATCTTTTCAAGGTTTACCAATCAGTTTTAATATCATGTATTGTTGTTAGCATATTCATCCACTCTTATCTACCGTGGATAACTTTTATTGGCTACTCATGTAATCATAGTTTACTACCTAGTTAAGAATTGCAGCTGTTGTTATCCCTAAAAAAATAAATAAATAAATAAATAAATAAATAAATAAATAAAGAGTCGACCAAGGGAGCAAACTACGCAGGTCAACAGCACTGCAAAGAGAAGGAAAACTTGACACAAACCCTATACCAACCCGTCTGGCCATTGGGTATAGTAGGCCAAAACCTCCTTTCTAAGGAGAGGCCTATGTCCAGCAGTTGACTATTATAGGCTGTTGATGTGATTATCAGCGAGTAACATAGGCTACTTTTTACCGATAACCGTCATACATGCGGGCAAGAGTCTAAAATAATTCTAATGAGTACACTAAATTACATTACTAAAATAAACTTTAAACATTCCAGGATTTTCTTCTAAAGAGCAAAGCTTCAAAGGCAGAAGAAATAAGTTCGCGATACTTATATAGAAAATATATTATTGACGTAATTAATTTTTAAACTAGACGTAGACGGAAAACAAGTATACCTACTAAACAACGTAAAATATCTTGCACGTGTTCAGGGAAACAATATCTAGTCGGGAAGCTCTCATGGAACTTCAACTAGTTTAAAGCTAAATTTATGTACGAAATTTAGAATAGTTAGGTAATTATTATTATTATTATTATTATTAATCCCAATGTTGTAAGACCGTGAGTTTCAATCATTAAGCCGCATTTGCACATCTATAAGTCACCTGTCTTTTACATTTTATGCTATGACCGCAGCATATTTAGTAGACTTTTTTTCTAGAATAAATCCCTTTATAGATATAGAGGCAATACATCGTAGATATAATCTTCAGTATTGATAAAACATTAGCTTTATAAAAGTTTCACAATTTACTATGGACCTACAAAGTCCATTCATCTAATAATTCGGTTCCATTGAACCATGAATAATATATTTCTAGGCAGGGCAGACCGTCACATTACAATAATAGAAAAGTTAATAAGTTAAATGTTTGATAAGGCCATTTTATATTTACACGTGACTAAGCAATAAACCTTGAAAAGGGAATGTTTATTATATGTAATGTGCAAACAATAACATAAAAAATAAATAAATCTTTTACCACATTAAGGACCTGCAGAAAGGCAGGAAGTATTTAACAAGGTCACAATAATATACCTAAAATGTAAGTATGAAAGACATGAAAGATATATATTTAGAACACCAATTAACCGTGCGAATAATCATTTAAACAGTCATGAATTTGAGCAGCTATTCTCTTGATAATCAGCTTTCACATTTCTTTTTAAATTAATTATAACATTTTCACTTTTATTGCTTTTATAATTACGTTTGTGCCAGTGCAGATATAATGATAAAAACTAATGGGAAAAAGGATTGTATAGTTAATTATTTTTTGTAGTAAGTTTCTGTGCATTTAAGGCATTGCGTCGGATTTCCTGACTGGAAAACAGTCAGTTTCAGTTACAGAAATACGACCCTGACCTATTCGATCTATTTATTACCCTCCATCTTTTAAGCAATATTCCGTTCTCCGTTCTTACCTACACTTCTTTTCCTTTCAAGATATTTCAAATTTTCGTTCTGTTTGTAATTTTTTGTGTGTATTCACGCTATGCCCGAATAATGGCACTAGACTTGCCCTCTATTAGGCACGTAATGAAGCCCTAAATATATAGCTATCAAACAATGATACAGCCCAGAATTCGAAGATACCGCCCAGAGTGTATGCTGATAATGAGTTAGTTGTTTCTCTAAAGGATCCTAGTATAATCTGCGAAAGGAGTCCTCAAGAATAAATCTAGCAATCATCAGTCTTTGAATAAGTCATGGATTTATTCAATAAATAAACAATATTTGATGTTTTTACCTGAGATTCCAGTAGCTCCACCACGTGCATAGTGGACTCCTCAATGGAATGTCCAACTGTCTGCACCACCAGCTCCGGTGATTCGGGACGCTCATATTCTTGCGTGATGCCAGTAAAGCCCTGTAATAAGAACAACTTTGTCAACTACATGAAGTGAGTTCGCAAAAATAAATAGTAAATATCTCTATCCTCTGGAATAGTGCAGACGTGCGACATGCGCGCCTACGCAGCGAACACGTAAAGGCAATCATGCCGTCACTTACTCACATTGCAGCTCTTAATTTTCTACTTTTTCATACTATAATTCATAGCTACATAGCTAATTTTGTAGACAATATTGTTCTACGTGTTACATTACATTTATTCACGTTATATATAGGTTACAGGAAATTAGTGTTTGCAACATTCAATATTGATGGATTCCCTTGGCTGGAGCCAAGGTTTAGCGTGAGTCAGACGACATGATTTACTGTAGAACAGACTATCATAATTCAATAAAGTTTGTGAAAGTAGCGTTCACCATTGAAGATCCTTTTGTATAACGCTAATTCTGGATGCAAAATCAGGTTATACTTAACTCCATAAGATGAGAAGAAGTGGTTCTAATAGGCTTCCAAAATTTCATCCGAAATTACAAACATTGCAAGTTAAATAAAAGCTTGTAATTAATATCTAGCAACTCAACTTTAATGTTTTTTTTTTTCGATCGTAAATGATTTATGCAATGTTGATAACTATGTAGAATCTAATTTTTCATTCCTTTTAATTCACGAACACTTATATACCCTATTATAACATAGACAATTTTCTCCAACACCTGAAAATTTTAACTTTTTGTACTCGTCAATGATCATTAACGAGTACAAAAAGTTAAAATTTAAATTTCACGAACAGAGTGGCCGTGTGCTGGTAAACTATGATACAAAATCTGTGCTGAAAACACGCGAGCAAATCATCTTTGTTGCAAAAACCTACTTACAGTGACATAATTCTCTATAGTACACGCAAGTTGGGTTTTTAATACTTTTTACAGATAAATTCTTTAATATTGTAAAATGCAAAAAGTATATCGATTCAGTGACAGCTAATAGACGAAGCTTACTTTCTGGGTCAGAGAATGGTGGTTTGAGAAATGGTGATAGATTTTATTTATATGAAAAGTTACCAGTACATGCCATTATATACACAGGGCAAACGATGTACCTGGTCAGGTTCATGAGTGTGAATTGTGAATAACTCGTTTCTTCACTCATATATTTGAAAATTATTATTGTTTTCAAAGCTATTTGCGTTCTTAGTTTCAATTTCTCTAGTAATGCCTCGGGTTCGATTCCTGGGTGAGACCAAGTGTTTGTATGATTTGCAAATATTCGTTTCGGAATTTTCCTTGTATAATATGTATGTATTTACGAAACAAGAAGTATATAAGTATTGTATCAGTCAATCTAGCTTTCATAGTACAAGCTCTGCTTAGTTTGAAACTATATGGCGGTGTGTTAGATGTCCGAAGTTTTATTATTATTCTCTTTATTCCATTAAGCATTTATAAATTACATTTTTAAATATATTTATGTACAAAAAAACATTTAAAAATATAAAAAAATAGTGTCCCATCAGTATCGGGTACAGGGACCAAGATATTGGTGGTTAGGACTTATTGTTATTATTAATATGTACAAATGTTATAAGCCTGAAGAGTTTGTTTGTTTGGTTGAAAAAATCTTTCAGTGTTAGATAGCCCATTTATCGAGGAACACTAAAGGTTATATACCATCACACATCAATCAAAAGTGTTGCAAAAACGGGGCAAATTATTCCTTTTCAAAGCTTCCGTTGCGTGCGCTGCGTAAACGGTTAAAGTTTCGCAAAAATCATGTATTCGGTTAAAGTTTCGTAAAAAAAAAGTCCTCAACAGCATAATATGTCTATCTTTTGTTGGCTCACTATAACCTTTTTTATGGTAATCAATTTTGGTCTTGGAGTATTTTTGGAAGTCCAAGGAAAGTTTATACGGTGAGAAAATATAAGAAAATGGTGATGGTGGTGGTAATTAATAATGATGGTCCGAAGGCCTGGTGAAGGTCGCAGGAAGCCGTTCGATGTAGGCTGCACAGGACCAGTTGTTGTGGAGAGCTTTAGAGGAGGCCTATGTCCAGTAGTGGACGTCTTCCGGCTGAGATGATGATGATGATGAATAGATAAATAAAGCTTCAGCGCGTAAGATACACCTTATGCGCTGATGATAAAGTTTTTTTTAAGACAACACATCCGCATCAGGAATATATCACATATCGCACACACATGAAACGGACACAAAGAACACCCAGACTCAGAACAACAATTTGTGGATTACACAAAGTGTCGTCCCATGTGGGGATCAAACCCACAACACACAGCTTAGTAGAGAGAGGCATGGCGACCGCTTAGTTACTAGTAAACTTCAAATTTTCACATAATCAAAATACATACGTCATTCCTTGCCGCTATAACAAGATAATTATAATGAAATATTTTTTCGATCCGACCTTAATAATCGGAAGTGTGTGTTAAACAGCTGATACAAGGACAAATAATGAAAAAATAACGGCGTCCGCATTTAATAAAGTTTGTGATTGTTCGATGTTAATAATGGCTATTCTATTTGATAATAATGGCTAAATATTATATTCTATTATTGTTAATAATATATTCCGTGTGGTGACGGTTTAAGAATATGGAGTGTCACCACCGCTATTCACCTCGTGGGCGATGATGATTGATGAATGCATGCATCCATTCGGAATTATAATATGCTAAATGGTAAAATTGACCGAGTGGATAATTTTCACAATTCCCTTATAAAGTTTAAGAATGTAATACTGAAATCATTTGCATGATTGCCACTTTCATTGTTTAAATTCATCTGTTTGTAATTCTCAAGTAAATAGTTCTTAAGTATATTTTTGTTAATTTATGTTCACTTTAATGTTGATCATGATATTGCTTGAATGTGTGGCTATCTAGTGATGTGTACTGTGTGCACGCTTTTAATTGGTCTACATATCTATCTTTTATTTAAAAAAAAATGATGATATATAATGATGAAATATTATGTATACTGTTGGCGTGTCTACAATAAATAATTAAATGGCGTTATCTTTGATGTAGATGTAGATATTAAAAATCTTTGGAGCCGTCTAATCATAAAATAAATTTAGTTACAGGTACTTTTGGCAAGTCTGTCCGTCTTGAGCTAGTGTTGACACTCCATAATCGTCTTTTCTTTAATTGCCTTTCTTCTTCTTTCCCTTTTGCATGTCTTTGCCTTTTAATACACCTACCTATACTCTATTTTTCTACTCCTTGTTTTGTCGCATTTTTTAATATTATTAGAAACTCAACAGTATGTTTTCCATACACAGAGATAAGAGTATAGGCACTACCAGCAGTATTAGCCAATCCTTGCTTAAATACTAGTATGAACTTATGTATTATTTGCTGACACTACCTATGAAAAAAAAGAGTTTCCTGACATCCTAATAGGGTAGAAGTGTAAATGTAAACACAGTTGGTAGATGACGACAGACATTGGGGTAACTAGTACTACAGTGCAAAGTTAATACATAAGGATGCATAAGGACGTGCTGCTTGGACTCATGACATTACTTAACTATCAACAAGACTATGTACAATTCGCTGTATGTAGCTGTTCCTAGATAATTGAAATGGATCAATATTTGAGAAACGTGAATTATAGGTACGAGGCAACCTAGTAATAATCGCATTCTTACCGTAGTTAGTACGAATGTTATGCTATAAAATTATTGTCATTCAAAAAATATGTTCGAAATATATTACCTATTATTTATCAATTGTCTAATAAAATAGTATGAGTTGGCGGATCAAAAGGTTTATCGCGTTAGATTACGTATTGTAATACTTCCTGTGATGAGTATCACCATTGGGAAATACCGATACAGTATCAGATATGTTGTGTGTAATGAAAGTATTATATCAAATACTTGAATGCAAAGGCAAGTTCTTTCACACCGAGAATTTATGAAAAGGTGTGTTTTTTTTATTAAATAATGCAGCTAACATAAGTATAGCATTTTTTCATGGTTTATGCGGCAATACGAGCAGACGGGTTAACTGATAGTAAGTAACTACCACCGCTCATACCTGCAACTCAAGTGGTCACAAGTGCGCAGCCGCTCTTTGAGTCCTCCCCCGAGATAAAGGGAGGAGGGTTTTGGGCTCCAGTAACCTCATTCAGTCGGTAAAAAGCAATGAAACAATTGCTTAACAGGTATTTTCTGTGAGGCCGTGGTACCACTCAAGTCGAGTCGGCAAATTTGTGTCGAAGCTTGGCAAAATGGCAAGTCAAATCTCCCACGACGCAGGATATATTCATAATGCGGGAGTTGTCTTTTTAAAGCTTAATAAAGATAAATCGGCATCTCGACATCTGTTATTATATTCATTATATATATATATTCATTATATATATATATATATATATATTCTTATTAGATTATATATAGATTCTTACCTTGATCTGTCCATCTCTGGCTTTCTTGTAAAGTCCTTTAGTGTCTCTTTTCTCGCACACCTCCAGAGGTGTGTCAATGAAAACTTCGAAGAACGGCAAGTCAGAATCCGTGTGAATGCGACGAGCTACCTCACGATCCTGATAACAAAAAACTCCATAATTATTACTACATAACTCAAAATATAATCAATAAGAATGAGAGATAAAAAAAAATTCCTGGACCTGAAGTTTCGATATATATACAAGAACAATCCATACTTATAAATGTGAAAGTGAGTTTGCTTATTTGTTACGCTTTCACGCCTAAACCAGTAAACCGATTTAAAAAATTCTTTCACATATGGAAGCTACATTATCGGTGAGTAATATAGGCTACTTTTTACCGTGATAACCGACATGCACGCGGAGAAGACGAGGGCAAATCTGGTATAAAATAAATAACATATAAAATGGGACACGTACATGTTTCGCGTCGCACCTAATGAGTTCCGTATGAAAGTTATATATGCAGACAGTTCGTCCATCGCGGGCATTCATGCTATAAGGTATTTGCTCGTTTTATCGGGTGACAATTTTGCCAATACACGTTAAAGTTCAATCCAAGCGCAATAGCAAAATATTTTTGATGACTTAGAAGTTTAATGTTTCGATGTTAATTGTAATTTGATATCATCACGCGTTCTCAGAGACTCACGGACGAACAAGAAACTGGTTCTTTAAAGGTTTTTTGTAGAGTCCCGTAGCCCTAAGAACGTTTTTCTGTTTATCAGTTTTAGAAACGTAGGTACGTTTGTATAACTACGCCAGCAAAATTACTGCTTAATCAAATTATTTAATTTAATTACACAAGTTTAATTATTTCTAACTAGTATTAGATGACATTGGTCTCTTAACATATGCTATTAATTACAGAGCACTTATAATATATTTAAGCGAATATTATAATAACAGTAGGTATTATAAAATAATAATTCTAGGACAATTCCCCGACGCACCTCGGGCCGTCTACGGTGTGTAGATGACCCCCTCCTGTGTGGGAATCCCTATGTCCCCTTTGTGCTCACGAAATGGACGACATTCTACCGAGACCGGTCCTACTTGGGTAGACCACTCTCTGACAAATATGCTACTACTGTGGGGCGGAGGTAGATGTGATGCAACGGCAGAGAAAGACTCGCAATATCAACGTTAGAAGAGAAGACTGCTAATTAATACACTGTGCGTTTTCGGTTTAAACGCTTTCGTAATGGAAACTTTGACTTCAAGAACACCCAAGACCCCCACACAGGTGAATAACGCTGAATTGAAGGAGATGGCGGAAGCCGATCCGAGTCAAACTACCCAGGAATTAGCGGCACGGTTCAACGTTGCCTACCTACAATATTGACTCATTTGCATCAAATCAATAAGATGCGAAAAATCACACTGCACGAGTAACCGTTGTAACTCTACAGGAGCTGCAGTTAGAAACCATACGTCATCCTCCGTACTCGCCAGACCTTGCTTCAACGGACTACAATTTTTTTCGTGATTTGCACAATTTTCTACGTGATAAAAATATCTTCCCAGGAGGCAGTACAACATGTTTTCACACAGTTTGTCGAATCTAGATCCCCAGAGTACTCTCGTAAAGGCATAAATGAACTTCCGTTTAGATGGCAGCAATGTATAGATTATAGATAATGAGAGTAAATATTCTGATTAAATAAATATGTTAACATCTTAGAACAAAACGAGTTTCAATTTTTCAGTACAAATCGGCAATTTCATACTTTAACCCCTAATACTTAACAGCAATAAAAAAGAATTTGATTTACTGTTCAAAAATTAAATGACGTACAACGATATCAAACATTACATACTTCAAGTGAACAGATGCAAATAGTGTAATTTACTACCATTAATCTATACTATAACCATTAATGGCTCGACCTAATGGCATTAGTAATAAAGTAGCATTAATGTGTACTTCGACAGCTTTTACTCAGACCGCTATCAATATGATATCTGTACTACAATTAGGTTTAGGATTTTAGTTGTTTACATATTATGTATATATATTGAGTTTTCATAACAATCTATACCAATCTGCCCCTACTTTATGACCCGATCACGACTAGCGTAGGTAAATTGTAAATGAAAACATAAAGCGACTTCTTAAATAACATTTTGCGATAACAAAAGAATGGTAAAAAAGACGAAGGTTGTCGACCAGTACATTTGTTACATTTATGTGAGGCTTTTTGTCTGTAAAAAAAATCTGAGTGTACGTAACGTGTGGAGTTAATTTAATATCTCAAAGCATTTCGCTTTTAAGATGCAATTGTGGACTTCATACGTTTGTTGAGCGAGTGAAAGTGATTTGTAATTTCCCTCTTCCATTTATTGTTCTCATGTTCATCATAGGTATAATGCGCGCTCTAATAGACATAGGTACAGTGAACAATATTAATTCTACTATTCTACCACATAGTTGTTTATCGCCTTACCTCAGCGAATGGTGACACAAAACTGCAAAGGCAGACGACCCCACTGTCAGCGAAAAGTTTCGCCACCTCAGCCACTCTTCTGATGTTTTCCTCGCGGTCTTCTTTAGTAAAGCCCAGGTTTTTATTCAAGCCAGTCCTTATATTGTCGCCATCCAAACCATACGCAGGGATTCCTGCAGAAGAATAAATGAGATAATATAAAAGATATGTTAGTTGCTGATATTTCAACTTCGTCAATTTCTTTAAAGTGTACTCTGTCGAAGATTAACTAACGAGCAACCTTCCTGGCGTGTGTGCCATATTCAATATATATATATATATAATGCACGAATATATACATTTAGAATAGTATACGAATATAGTGTATAAAATATCACAGTGTTACAGTTATCAGATAAGTCTGATCGTTTCGAAGATTATTACTCTTCGGAATACTCTAGATAGACTTAGATTTTATAATTTTCTAAATTACATATTATTATAATAATAAACTAATCATTTGTAAAATTTAATGGTTTCCTTTATATATGTCACTCTTTACTGTGCGTGCTTTAATGGACTTTACAACTTTTTTTAAGTAAATCGTTTTTATGACGAACGAATATCCGGTTTAGTTGGTGATAACATCATGTTAAACGAAATAGATCGATGTTTATGTTTAGATAAATTCTCAAGGATTAAGCATAAACAGTAAATATCAATATTTACTGTTTGTATGTAGTAATTAATTATATTATTATATATATAAGTATTTTATCTTTATTTGTCAAACTTCCATTTGAGTACTAAATTATAAAATAAAAAGCAAAACAAAAAGCTACAGATACAATAAGGCCAATTGTGAGTTTTCACTCTTTGTATTGTTCTAAGTAGAAATCATATTTGGTCGATTTACTCTAGAGAAAGAAAGGCAAAAAAAGTATGTGCACTGTGAACTCTGTCATTTATGAATCGATTTAAAAAATCTTTTTTATAAAGTGCAGTCGCATACAAATTTGAAGAAAAATTTCCACCCTTAAGAGTTTAAAAGTTTATTTCCGAGGGTTTTAAAGAAATGCTCACCACTGTCCTCTCGGTCTGCGCTGAAAGAGAGATCTTTGGCCATGTTAGTCGTACGCGAAAGACGCATTTAATTTCGCCTGCATTTACCAAGTGGCTTTATCCCTGGTCAAATGTGGCTATCTGGCTGTTTAATGATCAGCTACTTGTTTGGAGGAGAAATTTTGATACTTAAATTATAAAGAGTTAGGCTAAGATAAAAAAAACAACAACTACGACGACCTTTTTATAAGTTTTTTTTAACCTTTATCGAGATCCTTAATATTTTATTCAAAGGACGCCGTCCTTTAGGTTCAAGAACGATCTTGCTATAAAAGGTAAAAACGAGTCAACAAACAAGCCAGTGAACATCATGCATGTTATGCGCTGCGCAGTTACAACAGCATACAAATAAAACTAACAAGTTATGATGCAACGTATTTATGGCGTTCTGTATTTGAAAAGTCAAAACAAGACATATACTTTAAATTGGAGGTATCCCTAGAGTGTCCTTCGGGGTGGTTTTGGTGGAGATTTCAACTACTCCTGGCTCCTCCCCAAGGAGCTGGCAATCTGAAGATATTTTTCACCACATCACCAAACAAGAAAAAACCGTAATATATAAGCTTAACATTTTAACCTATAATTTAAGAGTAATAATAATATCAAAAGTATCTTTGTCTTGGCTTCTGTATGGTGATCTCTTCGGAGAAACTGAAGGTTTTGTTTGTGCGATTGTTTGGACGAGGTTATCATGACGAATAACCACCTGGACCACCACCTGGATAATCATCAGGCATATTATTTCTGGTTGTTCTCTTTTTGCTAACGGTGAATATTTGCAAAAGCACAATCAAGTAGCCAGGATCGTACACCAACAGCCCTTAAATACTAACTTGTGCACTTAGAGGTCGACACATTCAAAAATGGTCGGGCCACGTTGTATTGGGATCGATATATTATGCCTATATGCTTATTATGCCAATAAGCCTGATATTGTGGTGATAGATCGATTAGAGCATCGCGCAACGATTGTTGATATCGTCGTTCCCCATGACGATGACCTCGTGAAAGTTAAAAAAAAACAAATAAAATATTTTTGGATTTATCTCACGAGATTGCCGATATGAGGAATAAGGATTTGGTGATCATTGTTCTTCATTCGGATTGATAGCTAAGAGTCTCGACACCCTAAGAGGCTCACGTTAGACGGCTGGATCAAGGGTCTGATGCATAAGGCGGTACTCCTTGACACCTGGTACCTGTCTTGGTGCCTATATCCCGAAGTCTGTGGTAACCTATTTTTTATATTTTTAAATGTATTTTTTTCTTTTCTAATACATTTAAAAATGTAATCAATTTACTTATATAAAAATTGAAAATGATATAAAATGGCACATAAAACTATAAGGGTCTAATATAAATATTGACTAGTGATACAAAAGAATACCAAACGGCAGATCAAGTTATTCTGGACATTGAAATAAAACAAAATCGAAAGGGTCGAAATTCACACAATAAAAGAGCGTAGTCCTTCCTAACAGGTCGGCAACGCGTTTGTGACTCCTGAGTTGCAGGTGTTCATGGGCGGTGGGAGTTATTTTGCATCAGGGTCCCGTCTGCTCGACTGCATTCTCTTCCATAAAAAAATATTAACAATCAAATTTTCTCTGGGATCCAACGGTATATGTATAATCTAAATCCATGTAAATTAATTATATGATTCTATAACATCCTAGAACAAATAAAAGGATGTGTATAGTTTTAACGTCATTATATTTTAGCTCGCACAACTAAGTGCATATACGTGTCCTACATACATAGACAATTTGCACAAACACGTCGTATAAAATCTTATATCATAGTTACCCGACTGCGTCAGAAGAAGGGTCATGTTTTTCTAGTGTATGTATGATATTCAAGAACGTATTTGTAAGAATTCTGCTAATCCGAAGCTTCTACACATGATTTGGTCAGTCAGTGAAACACCGGGACTCTATTTTTTCGCTTCAATAGGCCTGATACCGGAGACACCGATTCGGTTTCTTCACATCAATTTAATCATACTCACTTCTTGGTGAGAAATGATCGGCTGATTTTTTTATGACCGTGGTATAAAAGTGCAATTGCCCGTGTCGCATGGCACGCGGGTATTATGAAATGGTTGCAGCAGTGCAAGTTCACATAGGAGTGGTAACAGTAGAATGACTTTATTATTAAAAAGTAGCATTCATTGGAAAGGAAGAAACGGTGAGTTTCTTTCTTCAATGTTTTGGTTGTTGATTTCAAGAGTGTGTACACTTGCCTCTAATTGCCACAATGTTTGACGCAGTTTGTACACATAAACATTCGAGCAATTGAAAAAGAGTGTCAGTGTATTTTTCATGTATTTATAAATCATAAATTCTACCTGTTACATAGATATTGATGTTTATAGGGCAGTGTGTGTATGTGTGTGTGTGTGTGTGTGTGTGTGTGCGTGGGTGTGCGTGGGTGGGTGTGCGTGTGTGTGCGTGTGTGTGTATATATATATGTGTGTGTGCGTGATTGTGGGTGTATTGAAAATTGTAGCTTTTTAATTCATTAAACTTATTTTCATCGCATTGGCAACAACGAATACTTTACTTGCTTTGTTTGTTTAATGAGACATAAATAAATCTATTTTCAACTGAAAAATAATTCAATACTTGGACACAGCAGGCATAAAAAACAATATTATAAACTAATTATGACGCTCACTCCTAAGTCGATGGTAGTGTGTCCTTATAATTAATTAGATAAGAGACCGCCTGGCTGTTCGCCTGTTTTAAATGTCTTGTTTTATTTTATTAACCAGTATGGCTTCTCAATTTATTTCTTTTTATATTATTTCTTTTAATTTCTAGTGCACCTAGTCACACATTTCGGATCACCTTAAGGTAGCCTGGGAGAAAATGCTTGTAATATTAAGTCCGTCATTGTACAATTCGCATTTGAGCATAAAGATTTAAAATAAATAAATATATGTATGTCGAACTGTCATTGCATTGACTTTTGTATCATGAAAAGTCAAAATATATCCGGGTCCCTAAACTTTCATGTAGTCGTTTCATCATATCCATCACATCCATAATTATATTATAAACGTGCAAGTGAGTTTGTTTGTTTGTTACGCTTTCACGCCTAAACCACTGCACCGATTTTAAAAATTTACATTAAATTAAACATTTTTTTTTATTATATGTTATTTATAAAATTATAAAATCCAAGCTAGAGTTTTCCGAAAAGTAATAATCTTCAAAACGATGAGACGTATCTGTGCCAATAACTATAACACTCTGTACGCTACGCACTACACACACTATACGCGTGTATGTCGGTTATAATATAGCTTGCCATTTGTTAAAAACACGCTTGCAAAAGCTCTCTGCACTTCTACGTATTTTTATTTAGAATATATCTTTACACAGACAGTACCGAATATGCATATTATAACCTTGATATATACGTTGAACTATTAAAAGCAAACCAAAGAGTCGACTGATTACATACCTTTCGAAACTAGATAAGCTTCGAGCGCAAATGCTATGCTAGTCTTGCCGGCGCCGCTAAGACCTGTGAACCAGACAGTACTGCCCCTGAACGCTCTACTACCAAGAGCACGACTTCTTTTAGCTCTCGACACCTGGTGCTTTTGTTCTACGACGTTCGTCGCCACTTGTACACACTGAAACAAAGTTAAACATACGTTTATTTTAAATCTTTTATGTTAAGAAGAATTTCAGTTAAATGATTATATATTTTGATAAGTATATTGTTTAGTGGACATTCTGTTATATTCTTTAAAAGAAGAGAAATCTCTGACCACGCTAGCTGTTGCTAGTCTAACATTGTTATCACCATTAACTACAGCTACTTCAAGAAACAATATTCTTAAGTTTTATACCCTCGTAAATATTCATAGCGCGATTCCGAATTACTTGAACAAATACTACCATTTTTTATTTTACCCAACTTATTAAGGTAAAATAAAGTTAGAGTCAGAGATAAGGTATTCTACCCTCTACGATGAGGGAGCTACCCAGATAAGTAAATTAGAAGCATCTCATTCCTCGTGTTTAGTAGCATCTATAGGGTTATTTCTTTATCTATAGTTGTCAAAAGCAGTAAACCAGTAAAGCATGTAGGTAAAATTCTGCGATTGCAATAATGATAGTGATAGATTCGTCTTTCTTTTTGATATGTTTCATTTTGCTTTCAAAGAAATATTTCACATTTATATATACCTACTCTGTTTTAATTGCTATTTACGAGTATTCATTCTCGACAATATGCTAAAACAATCGTAAAACCAATTCTTAATATTAATCTAATAAGTGTGATAATTTTTATATTTATAAAATATTACAGATACCTAATAAATATACTAGATTACTAGCCATTTAATTTTTCTATTTTATAGTTTTACTAGCTGCGCACCGCTGTTACCACCGCACCGTGTTACCCGCTGATCAGATACACTAAAATGTGTATTTTAATTACTTGGTCATCCCAGGGGAACACTACACTTTCAAAAATCAACTACCTCAATACCAAATTTTATCAAAACCGGTCCAGATGTTTGAACGTAAAGTAGTAACAAACATACAAACACACACACTCACAAAGTTTCGCCTCTATAATATTAGTGTGGTACCTGGCTATATGTTATAAAACTGCGGAATAACATATATAATACCATTTTAATTACCTAAGATGTTTCTGGTTCACCATATAATGCAAGGACATATTTAAATCAGACGGTACATTAAGCAATTATATTTACATACCTATTTCCAATGAAGAAATACTAGTATCGTGTAGTAGGTATGCTAAATTATAGGTAACGATAACGACACGATTTACATATAGGCGATTATACCTTAGATATAAATCTAACTTATAATTCATTATAATTTATATGTAAATCTAATATTAAGACTACACAGCGATAATAAATAAACATGTCAATTAACACAAAAGGAAATTTAGTTCCTGTTAAACTTATTTCAGTTTAATTTAGATACCAGGAAATAATCTATTTATCGAAGGTCGAGAAATTATTAAAAAACTATATGAAAATTTTCAAATATTGTAATAAAAACTTCCTCTTTCTTAAAATAGTGATTCTTTGTCAGATATCCATCATTGCCGTAGCTTATGAAAGATCAAGGACATTTCGCTGGTTAACATTTTATGTACAACATTCACCACCTCTCGTTATATATCTACTGTTATTAGCAACATCAAAAAAGTATAGAAAAAACATATTTTCAAAATTTTACTGACTAATGATGAAGTACAGGACAACGGGAAATATAAAAATCTTCAAAAAAAATGTTTCTCATTTTACTCTAAAAAAATAAAAATATTAGCATTTCCTGTGTATCGCTGTTAATACTGTTGAGTTACTCAGGCCTGTACAAAACTCATATGCTCTAGAAGACAAGTAAAAAATATTACAAGCATACTACAAACACGCTCTAACTATGCGCTGTACGGATTGAGATGCTATTTATCCAGCAGATTGCTTGTGTCTCGAACTAAAATGTAAGATCATAGTAATGTGGCGAGGGTCTTCGTGGGTCCACACAAAGGGATGTTGTCAGCCGATATTAAAATATTTTTGTCTGTGAATGTAACTAAATAACTCCAACGAGTACCACTTAGGAAGCTTAATATAACAGTTTAAAGATCTTTACCTGTATTGGTTAAATTCTAATAACAAAATTAGTATTACCTATAAAGGTTAGCTGTCTTTTTTTATATAAATAGTAGAGATAAGTTTCGTGGTATGGTAGGTACTAGTTAAAAAATTAGTCAGTTAATCTTTAACTACAACGACCACGTTAAGGATTGTTACTTGTACCGACTGATTGTCCACCTGATTGACTAAATAATACAGTACGATAAGAGACCAGCTTGAAAAAGAAACCTCGTTTGTTCCTGACCTATGCTTACTATAGCCCGGATGTAAACAAAACTTACTGAAATTTTAAAAATCGCCTCTACACTGGCTATTCCAAAACGACTACAACAAATTAATGATTAGCAACAGTACATAACAAATTTCTATACTTTCTAACATAATGTTTATATATACATAATTTATAAATAATTGTATTGTAAATTCAATTGATCAACTATTTATCAATGGAGTTTACTAAAACAGTTAATGAGAATTATTGTTTTAGTTCACCCAATATTCATAAAATTACGCAAAATTTCACATTTCTTGCAAACCATTTGACAAGTCAAGAATAGAGAATTTCTGATTGAACTAGAGTATACCTGGACCATCTAACGGAAGATTAGATTTCGATTAGACAGTACTAGTGATAAATGTTGTTTTAGGACTTCTTAAGACCGCCAAATTCAATTAATTTCCATCTGTTCTTTTCCCAATGTGTCAGATGGAAGCTTTTACCCGCAAGAGAAATATCCACAAACCGCATAAAGACTTTAGTGCAATTGTAAAGTTATTAACTTACTTTAAAATTAATTTACTATCATCGAATTCTATAGTGTGTGTATCTAAATTAAGGTATTAATTATGTGTTTTTGTTGACGGGGTCAGTAATCTGTTCCTTGAGAACGCAGGAGCCAGAACCAAATACAGTATTTCCATAAAAAATCACCGGCTTCAGTCGTCCTACTCTGGAGAGGACCCGGAATCGACGCCGCATCTAATCAGGCCCTATCCCGGAGGAAGCTACAGGTTTCCCCTCGCTAATTGGTACAATAATGACGTTACAGCCCTATCATATACTAATCCGATACTATTATTTATTAATATTTTCACATCATGCAGATTTGGTGCATTGGCGGACTTAATGCCTACAGCATTCTCTGCCAGTCAACCATTGGGTGATGCAGAGAAAACAGGGAGTAGGTGCATTTTGGTTAAAATTTGTATAAGAATAGTAACAAACTAAATAATAACTATATTAAATACACATAATATATAAACCTATCATACACTAGACATATACACATTATACATATACCTAAATACATATAAACTTATTTAAATACATACATACGCAAACCAGATACCAATAATAATTTATCATATTAGATTATAATAACGTGGAAGTTGATTCTGCCAGTTGTTTCATTAGATACTTACCTTTGTTTTAAAAGGCCTACTTTGTTTTATGTGTAGGCCTACGTGATCTGACATAAATTATTTAGTCTGAAAATGAGCAGGTACACCGCAGTTGGATGTCAATGCACAGCTACTTAATGTTTAAAGCACTAGTAAACGCTTACTATTGAACGATTCAATTTGTTTTTTGTAGTTTTTACTGGCACTCTCATGAATTAATTATCAATTAATGGTAATGGTTTAATTGCATCCAAAACCAGAAATCAAATCATCCTATTAACTCAACAGATCGCCATCACATCCGTCGTTAGAGGTAAGTAATTGATGTAAGTTCTTTACAAAATTTTGCATACCATCTACCATAAAGTAATTATATTATTATTGTGCCTTGAAAGTGAAGGGCATCCTTGAAATGTTAATAGTAACTTTTGCGATCATACCTCAAAAATAGGTTTCAATAACATTTATATTTTTCTTTTTATTTGTTCAAGCTCTGACATGTAAAGGTCCTGCATCAGCATTTTGCACGTGGCGTTCAAAAGCCCTCCAAATTTCCGCATTTTTTACGAAATGTCACTTGTTCACACAAAAGTAAACGAGTACCTAATTGTGTCCATACAAGTGCGATGACTTTCGTTGCAATGGTTTAACCATTAATACATCTCAAAGTACCAGATACAGTACTGTCGAAAGCCATGGTCGCCATTGGAAATACTTTCATAACCTAGGTAGGTTGTGTCAGTGAGGTTACTGAACGGATTATCCAAGACAAACTAACTATTCCTAACTTATTGAACGTGGTTTTAAAAGTTCTAATACATGATGCATGCATTAATAATAGAAAAAACTTAAGGTATACAAATATTACTTTTGCCTGTTTAACTTAGTCTAGACAGAACGCGGTAATTATTGTAACCTAAGAGAAAAAAAAAAATAACTACGGGGATTCTCAAAAAATTGAAAGCAACTAAAATATTTATTTATTTTAATAACTTTATGAACAAAAGTACAATGGCGGACTTAATGCCATAGGCATTCTCAGTCTGTCTGTATGCCAAAAAAAATTCACTCAGGATCGAGTGAAGTTATTGAGTTGAAATTACCATCAAACACTGATCTCTCCGATCCCGTGAAAGTTTAAACCATCCCTATGTCAACCGTACTTTTTTAACCAATGTTAATAGTTCGTAGACATATCAAAACCTATAGGTATCTAAGGTTCTTTTAATAGGCCTTAAAAAACTTGTCGACTGGAAGTCGTTAATATGTGGTTCTATCAGTGAGTGTGCTTTTACATTTACATTTTTAGTTGCGGTTTAAGAGAGAGAAGAGTATTTTAGGAAGGTGTTTGTCTTTAAATGAATACTATTTCCAAGAATTAAACAAAAATAAGTTGGTACTGAACCTTCGGCTTGCGAGTCAGACTTGCACTTGCACAGTTTTTTTTTTTTTCGATCTTTTAATTTGGAATCCCTAGTGACACAGTGTAAGCTTTGATCTACAAACTTAGCAGTTCGCAGTAAATTTTGAATTGATTTAGATAATAAACATTAAAGCAAGTCAGCTTCTTATAAATAATT